AGGTGCTTCCTCCCTCCAGGGAAATGCAGGGTTACCCTGCACGGATTTTGCGACGCCTCTGAGAAGGGTTATGCTGCTGTTGTATATTTGCGGACGGTGAGCTCTTCTGGCCATACTTCCGTCCATCTCGTACTTGCTAAAAGCAAAGTGGCTCCCATTAGGTCCCGCTTAACTATTCCTAAGTTGGAACTGTCTGGAGCTGCTCTTCTCACGCGACTGCTCAACCACGTTCACTCCTCCTTGAAGTCGGTAATCGACATTACGGACGTCTACGCTTGGTCGGACAGTGAGATAGTACTTTGTTGGCTCCGAGCGGCACCTCACAATCTTGAGGTCTTCGTGTCGAATCGCGTGTCCCAAATCCAGAATTCTGCCACTTGTCTAACGTGGAGACATGTCCCAGGGGGAGTTGAATCCAGCAGACTGTGCTTCTCGTGGCTGTGAAGCCTCCTACTTGGTTGATCACCCGCTGTGGTGGGGGCCCGGCTGGTTAACTGAGTCTCAGGCGTTCTGGCCCCAGAACAAATACTCTGAACCAATTGAATTGCCTGGCCTACGAGCCCGAGTAGGAGTGGTCAAGGATAAGCCCACTCGTGATCTCTCCTTACTAGAACGGTACAGCTCTCTCGACAAGCTCTTGGGAGTAACTGCTTGGTTGCGTCGATTTGTCCGCAACTCGAGAGACCCATCTAACCGAATATCTGATTCCGCCTTGTCCCCTAGCGAGCGGCGCGAAGCCTTGATGCATTGGACCCGTATGATCCAAGCGGAGCATTTCGAGCTCGTGATTGATACCTTGAAGCGGGGCTTAGTTGTCAAGGGTGCGCTGGCCCGCCTGAACCTCTTCCTGGATGACTCGGGGATGCTTCGCGTGGGCGGACGTTTGAAAAATTCTCAACTGCCGTACGAGGCTCGACACCCTCTACTGCTCCCCAAGGACGGCGCCTTTGTTCGGTTGCTGGTAACTCACTACCATGTTCAGAATGCCCACGCTGGGTGCAACGCTCTTTCGGCCATTTTGCAGTGGGAGTTTTGGATTTTGGCGGGTCGACGCACCATTCGGAGCGTCATCTTTAAGTGCATATCTTGTTATAAGTTGAAGGCCCCCATATCACAGCCGATGATGGGCGACTTACCACCCGACCGCGTCAGGGCCATCCGACCATTCGCGGGAGTCGGAACTGACTTCGCTGGCCCCTTCCTCGTCAAGTCCTCTAACCTTCGTAACGCGCGTGCTCATAAGGCCTATCTGTGCGTTTTCGTGTGCCTCTCCACTAAGGCTGTTCACTTAGAACTTGTAAGTGCCCTTAGCACGGAGGCTTTTTTGTCCACACTGGGTCGCTTCGTATCGCGTCGCGGTTTACCGGACCTGATCCGGTCGGATTGCGGAACGAATTATAAGGGTACTGATAGGTATTTGAAGGAGGTCGTTGAATTTCTGTCTAGCAACAGGACCTATTTAACTACTGCGATGTCCAAGAAGGGCATCCAGTGGAAATTCGACCCTCCGGCTTGCCCACACTGGGGCGGTATTTTTGAGGCGGTGGTGAAGGTTGCAAAGACGCATCTCCGTCGCGTTATTGGCGAAACTATTTTGACTTTTGAAGAGCTTGCCACTGTATTCTGTAAAATTGAAGCAGTCCTCAACTCTCGGCCCCTCTGTCCTCTCTCGTCCGATCCGAATGATTTAGAGGTTCTAACCCCTGGCCACTTCCTGATAGGCCAGCCGCTTAACGCCCTGCCCGAGTACCCCTTCCGGGAAATAATCTCTTCGCGGTTGAGCAGATTTGACATGTGCAACAAATAACTCAGAGTTTTTGGCACCGATGGTCTCTGGAGTACCTACATCTTTTGCAGCAGCGCGTTAAGTGGTCTGACAAGACGGACCCCCCTCGGGTTGGAGACCTCGTGTTAGTTAAAGAACCTAACGCCTCGCCCTTGTATTGGCGCCGTGGGCGCATTGTCAAGTTGTCGTATGGACCGGATGGGATCCCTAGGGTGGCCGAGGTTTTGGTTGGAGATTCGGTTTTGCAACGTGCCGTCTCTACCCTATCCCGCTTGCCAATTTACTCGCGGACCTAGATCCTCATGTCCGGGACGGGGGCTTGTTTAGGCCTAATTTAACGTTTGGCGGCCTGCTTCGGCGCTCGGGTCGAGCGGGAGGCGAGCCTGACGGCTGAGGCGCGGGGGGTGTGGGCTGGTGCGGCGTCCGGCCGCGCCGGCGTCGGCGGTTTTGCGAACACTTGCCGCAGAGCGTGGAACTGAGTAGTTGCGCGTCGTGTTAATAGTTTAGTCGCTCGCTGCCTCTGACGCCTATACTTCGCGAACCTGAGTTGTTTGCAACGCGGCCCGGTGATATTGCAATTTTCACAAATGTCGAGTTTGTTGTAACGCGAGTTCGGTTAAATCTTGTTGGATTTTATTGGATTAACCTAATGACAATTGACTTGACTCCAATTAACTAGTGAGAAACGAGTGTAATTTCCTAGATTCCTAAATTTTTGTGACGGACTGCCACTTCGATATAAAGAATAAAGGTGAAGCCTTGGGATCGGCGGTTCTGCAACCAGCGGGAAGTCAGGTTCCATAATTTAACACAATCACAACACAACACAGTCAAGCACGCCCACACTTACACCTGAATCTTCCTAGGGTTGACCCTACTTCGAAGAAATAGGTAAGTTTTGTTTGGTTCCCCTTTTTACCGCTAACGTGTAATATTCCACAAGCCATTTAGGCCGACCTCCTGTTACTCGTCGAGTGGAACCCCTGATGGGCCCGGGTCCCACGACCTTGCCCGGGTAACTAGAGGCCGTAATACACTCCGCTTACGTCGCTTAACGGGCGTGACTCTAAATTCTACCGACCCGCGAACAAACAACAAGCGACAAAGAAAAAGAAAAGAAAAAAAATATTTTTATTAGGTATTACGGCCGGGAGTGATTGTAAACAATCAACCACGCTCTGCTACCAGAATTGGTACGGGGTTGATTGTTTATACCTAACCACGCTCTGCTACCAGAATGTTACGGCCCTGAGTTACCCTGACAAAAGTCGATTGAACTAGGGCCCATCAGTAGTCCAACTCGACAAGTAACAGAGGGGAGCGTCCAATGACCTATGAATAATTAAATATAACGGTTAGATACGCAAACACAAAACTTACCGAATTCCAGAAGTGTAAGGTCTACCACAAGGTGGCGTCAGGGGCAAGTAAATGGTAGTGGGTGTGTAGTGTAGGAAAGTGTATAGTGTAATCTGATGTCACCAATACAATCAGATAGCACCACGTGCGCCGACCGCTCCACAAGACGCTCACCGCTATCGGAACCCAAGTCCAGCGTCACTTAGCACGAACTATAATCGCGCGCGATCTACACCGGGATTACAAAGTTCAGCGTTCCACACGAAAGCAAGATTCCTTCGTACACCTTAACTAATTTCGTTTAACTCTAATTAACTACACAAGTCACTCGTCGATGCAAATTACTAGCAATCTAAGTTAATTCAATAATTCAAAATCAAAAACGCAAAAAAGCCTCGTTGTCACGTATATTAACGACAAAATACAACACCATGGAGGCCTCCGTATTCGAAGCCATAATCGTTATCAAAAAAACTCGCGACCTCTACTCGACACGGCTCGCTCACTAAGAAGGTTCGAGACCCTTCGGCGCGGCCTTAGGCCGCACAGATTAGCCCCCCCCCCCGGCCGCTCGAGATGTGCGCAGTCGCAAGTTGCAAATTGTTAAAATTATGCCTAAACAATCAGCTATAAGCTCTTCGCCGGTTCTAGATATTTTACGTCTGGTGAAAAAGAAATAGTTATAGCTTCCGATATCACCAGCCTTTCTGGCATTTTTCATAGCACGACAACCACGATTCAGTCTACGATAATATTTAATTACCGGTGACATGTAAGTTGTCTTTACTTCCAAAAGCTTCAAGTATTCTAAAAATACATCCTTAATCAACCAAGTTCTAATTTCGTAACTGTTTCGGGGTGATAAAAGCAGTTATATTAGTATTATAGTTGTAGCACGAATGGGTCGGCTTGACCGGGGAAGCGCGAAGAGTGAAATAGTAGCTTAATGCTGCTGTGTTTCGTATGGTGGGTGTAGAGAACTGGATACCCTTTTTACTGGAAACGAGGCATTCCATCTTAGACCTCACGGGTGACAACGCATCTGCATTTTAATTTGTAATCGAGGATGGATGTAGATGTCTATGGACCGCAGCAACCACTTATCATCAGGTGGACTGTGTGCTCGTTTGTCACCCTATCCTATAAAAATATTTAAATCATCTAATATAGATACCCAGATTTTAAGGCATTTGAAAAAAAAACGAAGTCCTACGAATGAGGAAAAATCTAAACAATTAGTATTTGTGCGAATAAAATAAATTAATTCGCATAATACGACAACCACGAGACGGAATGGGGTAATCGAGTCCCCTATGCCGCCACCATAAGACTTCTCTTGAATTGCTTGCTTGATCTTTTTATAGCATTGTATGAACATTTTAGCAGATTACCTTTTATTGTTTTCAAGAATATGAAATACCCGCATTTGCAAGCACCGATACCGATAGCGCGATATACCGATTTTGTCCAAACTACCATTAAAATTGTTAAGATTTAAAAATAAGTTAATCTATTATAAACAACTTATAAGATACCGTTATAGTTATAGAAATATGTGTTGTCCTATAATTGGTAGTACGTAGTAATTTGTAGATGTGCGGCATGTTAGATGTAGTAAAAGGAGAACCATAGAAATAAATAAATAAATACAGTCTATCTAAAGTCCAATGCTGAACGTAGGTCTTCCCATAGATTGCCTCATTGGCAGGGCATTTTTCCAATGAAAAATGCCCTCGCCTGCCAAGTGCAAATTGTTGCAGGTGAGTTTGCATTTGCAAGTAAATATACGTTTCATCATCGAATGATGATATTTTCTGCTGCACTAATATTGATATTCTTTGTTTTTTTCATTTAGGTCCTTGCTACCGTCTCCAATTGTGGACGGCCGTCTTTCGGTTTGACAGGGGGCCGGTATCAGTCACGCGGTCAAAGCGTAACTCCGTCACACTTTCACTGTACATTAGTTGTGGAATATTAAAAACGTTTCAAGTTTCCGTAATAAAAATCAAAATGTGATTAAGTCTTTGTTATTTTTACGTATACTAAATTATGTGTAATTTAATTGTATAGAAGGAGAAGTTATTCTTGATGCGATGTATAAAGAAAAATGTTGCTGTTAGACCTGTTTAGAATATGTATTTATTATTAAAGTACAGATAAGGACAAATTTCGGATAAAAAAGTTGTGGACAAATTTATTTCTTTATTTATGATATAGCGACCGCAACTAAATTCAATGCGGCTACTACCGAATTAAAAGAAGTTACGATAACAGCCCGGCTACTTTTCTTAATCTAAAAATTGGTCAATAATTGGTCGCACGATGAAATTCTCGCCTACGTTTGATTTCAGAATAAAACTAAAACATCTTACTTTTATACTCTGAAAAACTACGAGAAACAACTATATAAGTTGTACAAAAATTGTAAGGCTACTGGTACTGGGAATGGAAATACTTACATGATGTTAATGAATGTATAATTTGTATAGTAGCCTGTTATATATTTTATTTTTAAATTATTTTTTCTTCGTATCTCATGCGTTTTCACATCTAATTTAATAGTGAAAGTTGGTTATATGCTAAAACTCAGTTGTTAAGAAATTTGCTGTAAGACATTTATTGAAAGGAGTAATAGCGAAAATGTTGAACATACTTGTTATAGTCTATAAGAAGTGTAAGATACTACACAAATATTATATTTCGTAGCGATATACTGTCAGATTATAACGAAAAAAAAACTGTTTTTGAAATTCAATATTCATTGTCTGTGGTCAATGATTGAACTGATATTTGGCGCGCAATCACCCGCACTATAATGTGTTCTATTATATTATAGATTATAAGTGTAGTATAATTGAAATCCTCGATTACTAAAATTACACCGAGCACTTTTTTAATTCTCATAAGCTTTTAACACTGTATTGAAGAATCCATTATAGTAATAGGCTATTGAATGAAATAAATAAAGTACAATTGCAATTTTAGCTTTCTTTTTTTTAAATATTTCTGTTAAAATCATAAGATATTTTTACGATTTGTTTCTATCTGTGAATTAAAACTGCTAGAAGTATCAGTTTCATAACGTAATGAAATTAAATCAGTCCCACCAAAAACGTCAAAGCAAATTTCAAACTTTATGAATATACCTTGGCGACCAAGCTTTGCTCGGCATGTGAAACGTCATTCTCACTCAGATATGGCACTTATCTAGATGAACTTTGAAAGTCTAAAATTATCTGAATACGAAATTTCATACAAATCATTAGAGTAATCGAAAAACCAATTATGTGTCTATGTAATTGGTTTTTCGGTTATAATTAAATTAATATGTATATATTTATATATCTTATATATATATGTCACCGTATGATTGTTAAGACCGTTAGTTTATAATACTATTTTATTCTTGGAATAATAATAATAATATAAGAAAAATATTTATTTAACAAACATTAAAAAATTGTAAAATAAGGAAAATAATGATTGCGCCACCAACACTACCTTAGCAAACAGACTATACAAGAATTTATCGCTCAAAGTATTGAAATTAGAGGTTAATTAAAATCTGTATATCCTTCCTCCCATTATTCACGTAATACATTTTTGTGAACACATTCATTTACAAAATGTATATGTAAATAAACTTTAATTAATAATTGATTTAATGAATTAATTTTTATTTGTATACATTCATGCAATAATACAATAAATGTCCTCTATAGATTTAATAAATGAATGAATAAATAAACACTAATTTATTAAATTTATCGGGACATTTGTTCGCATTTTATATTATGAAAGAGATATAATAATTTAGATTAGTATCATATTATTAAAAATGCTGTGCATTCTAGAAACAGTCGAGGACCTATGCAAGACTAATTTAGTACAGCCTCTGTAATCTACAAATATTTGTTATACTTAAAAATTGTGATGATAATTCGTAGTTTTAAGTAGAGAAATGCCTACTACGGCGAGCATAGCGTACGACGTAACCTAGAAATGTGCGGGTAAAATGTTGCAATAATTTGTAAGGTAGGTAGAGAATCTCCACTTAGTGAATTGTAGTTGATGCACTTTCAATCATCTTCAGCTTGTTTGAAAACTCAATTAATTAATTAATACACGTAATAATGAAATGTACCGTCACCACCGTCTTACGATAAGGAGGCTCTTTATCTTTATTAGCTTAAACATCATACTTCATCCTACTTTCGAATATTTGTTTGGTATAAAAAAACTAATAACTTTAAAGCCGACATTCTCTATAATTAATAGCGTTTTTTTTTTTTTAATTATTGTATTTTTCCTCTTAATTTGCCAAAGACCCTATAAAGAATAAAATTACTTGTACACTCGTATTACCTAATTTTAGAAGACAACCTGAATTCTAGTTTAGTGTTTTACATTAGAATTTTTAACGGTAATACCACAATAGGAAATGTTCGCCAAGAAAGATGACACTACACGCATTTCGCCTCGCAATAGGGCAATTATATATTTTAATGTAATGGATCTAAGCAGGCTACGATTACCTCTGTCCGGACTAAATAACGCTAGAGTAACTTTACTTGTATCCTTTGTTAATGCTACAATTTAAAAAAATGCTTTAGTTTTACAAAACAGATTGTCGGAAGGGAGTCGAAGGGAAACAGTTATTATAACTATAAAATAATTTCTACAATTGTTTTGATAAAGTGGCTTGCAAAGATGTTAATTAAAGGCAATTTAGGATAAACTATGTTAATTAATTAGAAGAAAAGTTGGGTAGCTTTTGTTGTATTATGACTGAAATAAAAAGATCGCTTATGAGCTTATGACGTTTAATATTTATCAGAAATCTAAAAATCAATTTTATTACTTTTAATTTTTATGAAAATATTTTAAATATTACGCGGGCGTTGTTATATGGTTTGCTGCAAGAAATGGTTGGTAACTGCTCAATTTATTATGAAATTGTACGTATATTTTATTTGTGTACAGGTGTATGTTATTGTATATTATACACAGGCACAGCCTTCAAATTATTACACGGATCTGTTTTGCAATAATTCTATAAAAGGAATAGACAAGATTTTCGTTTTCTATTTCATTGAAATAAAATATTGTGAAATGGACTGTATAATTTTTATTTTATTTTAACTGTTGACGATTATGGTGTGAATGTTGGAGAGATCGTGAAAGTGTATTTTCACAGTTATTAAAATATGTAAATAAAACACATCTTTTATTTATGAATAACTTGTGACCTTTATACGCCTCGATTCTTTACTACGTAAACAAAGATTCCTTGATCTCATTTTCCTTAGTTGAAAAAGAATATCTTAAAATAAAAATATTAATTCTTTTGCAACCTCCCGCTAACTAAATACAATGATGTGTCTTACCTGGATTGAAGAGCACCTCTCGTTAAGTCAAGCCTAAGCTAAGTCTTAGCAGTCAGCCGCCGTGGAGTCTACATCACCTGAGGATGCCTCGTGTAGAGGCGAAACACGTGTCGTATTATCGTCGATGGTGTGTCTTACCTGGAATAGTGGTGTTGGAAGTAGTGGGTGCCGGGAGTAGTGGTGCTGGGACTAGTGGTGACGGAGTTAGTGCACGCAATTGAGGGAGGGCGGGAGGTGCTCTTCAATCCAGTTAAGACACATCATTGTATTTAGTTAGCGGAAGGTTGCAAATTAATTAATATTTTTAATATAATGGATTTCCGCAAAGTAACGCCTGATTCTATCAATTAAAGAATATCTTGTCTTAGCGACTAATTTAATCGTAAAAATCTTGCCATATACTCGTCACTTTTGATATGTGCCAGAAAGGTGCCAGATTAAGAAAACTTGGAAAGTGTATTATTATGTTTATCACCGCTGACCAGTAAAAGTTCCCGTTGCAGGAAGGTTTACCTTAACTCGTCCAGTTTGGCAGCCGTATTGACGACCACTGTACCAGACGTCTCCCACTTTTGACACTTTTGCCCTTCGGCGGTCTGGTTATTTTACTCGTATATCTGGCGTAAGCGAAAGATTAATACCGCCATTTATCGAAATCCATAAGATTTTCTGGCATTTCACAACTTATGACATCCACGGGACGAAATTGGGCGATGGGTTCAGATACACCCGGTGTATTACACTATACACTGCCTATCGCAATCACACCGCATTCCTCAAACATGAAGTTAGGGAAGTTTGTATTTACTTGTACACGCTTTTATTAAAACTGGTTTACTAACTTTATTTTACACTGACACGTGAAGAAAAATACATTTATATTTTTACAATTTTAGTGACAAATGAAAGTACAATCATGGTAAGTAGCCGCTGCAAACTATGGAAATTTGGAAATAATTTCAAACAAAAAAAGTCCACAGAGCACTTTTTTGTTTGAAATATTAACCATTGTTTGAAATATTAACCATTGTTTGAAATATAAATAGTTAGTATGGAAATCTTACTTCAAATTGGTAGAATTTATTGATAGATCAATTTTATGTTTTAATTTTTTAAATAATTGTAAAATATCAGTGCCATACGCTTCTACTTCGTTCACTCGTTATACCCAATTTTTTCCAAACTGTAAAATGAGATCCAGTATACATACTCTATATTCCCTCACTTATTATACAATAATGTATATCTATAATAAATAAAAATAAGGACAGTTTACGAACTGTTTTTGCAGGGCCACAAAACAATACATAATGGTCCTATTGAAGCTGTATTTCAGAATGTTAATCAATCATTGGTTAAATAAGATAATTGACAAGACAGCAATTACTTTAGCTAGACGAGTATGCTGAAGAAACTAGTGAAACTTATGTTGTAAAAGGAATAAAACAGAAATATTTTTAATTACAAGCATTTATTGAATGTTATAAACGGGGTGAACATACCAGTGATTCGAAAATTAACAGGTTCAACATAAAAGGAAAAAAGAGAAAATAGATTCTACGGATGCAGATGTACTCTAAAAAATTGATATTGACGTCGTCAAAAATGGCATCGCGTACCGTAAAATGTGTAAATTGCAATATAGTAATCTCGGAACTTTTGGCTTTTATACAAAATAAAGCGGATATAATGGATGAAGAAAGTATTGTTGGTCTTATTTCTACCACCTTCTCCGAGAAAGAAATAGCACAGGTAAAAAGTTACTGTTCGAAGTGACCGATCTGTCCAGGCGCTTAATGAAAAGAAAAAAGTTCGGTAAGAATCAAAGACATTTAAATAAGTAGTAGTAATAGACCGGACATCAGTAACAAAATTGTCGTCTGTAACTTTTGTCCTAAAGGATATATCTCCGATTTTTATCATTAAAAGTCAAAACGCATTCGTTTCATAAATTAAAAAAAAAATATTTTTAAAGAAAATATGCCCGGTTGTGCATTAAAGTATTGTAAGTCACGATATGGAGCAAAAATTAACGTGATTTCGGTTTATTATCGTAAGAAAAATGTGTATTTACCAAATAATTTTTAAATTTTATTGTTTCTAGTAGATTGTTCTAGAAGAAAAAAATTATAGTAATAAGTGCCCTCTCATATCCAGTAACGTCACTATTTGTTTACAAATATGTTAGTGATTAACGGTGTGCCTGACAACAGATTTTTACCTTATATTTAGAAGCGTCACCTACTGGGAAATAGCTAAAATGTTTTTTAAATAAATATTCAGTGTAGTATTGCTATATTTCGCTAGAGGGTGTAATAGTTACATCTTATGTATGTAAATGTTCCCAATGTCCGCTCTATAGTATATATATATATATATATATATATATATATATATATATATCCTTATATATATCTGCTACGAATGTTAGAAATATTGAAGACATAATTGCAGTCATTTAAGGAAACTGATCCCGAAGAGCTGCTATCTATGTTGCGAGGGATTTGCAGAAACTTCCTCCGGTTACGTTCGATCATATTGACGCATAGAGATTGCTCAAAGATATTATAATGCTACAAAATGAGATGGCTATAATAAAAGAAACATACGTTACTAAAGATTTCTTGAATATATTGAATACACATACACAGACACTATAGGATAATGTCAATGGTAATTGTAGAAAAAGGTGTTAAGGATTATGGGGATAATTAAAGATATAATACTTTGAACATAAAACGTGCTTTTTATTAACCTCAAAACAACAACATAGAGAGCAGTCTAGTATATAGTCAGTAATCTATGATAGAGAGCCTATAACGTCATATTGAATTTTCCTTCATAACCACAGACACAGTGTTGACAACCGACACAGTGTTGCCATTAAAATACAATATTATACAAATCATTGTTAATTAACACCTCCCCCCAATGATTTATATTAACAGAACTAACATTACAATAATTTCAAACATTACAATGAAGAAGTAAGAACTAACAATACAATGATTTGTATTAACAAAACTAACAAACTAAAAATACACAATGCGAACTAAACTCTATTCCAATCCTAATTTATGTACAAAATAATTATGAGAGGTTTTATTTAATGGTTTCATAAAAATATCAGCTATTTGTTGCTTTGTAGGTATATACATAACACAAATTTCTTTACATTCTATTTTATGTTTAATAAAGTTGTATTTTATGTCCACATGTTTCATTTTTTTTTGATCAGGATTACATACAGAAAATATTGTACTTTTATTGTCTTCATATATGGTAGTGGTATTACAACTAACGTCTAACTCATTTAATAATTTCCTAATCCAACAAGCCTCCAGAGCGGCTTCATTGAGTTTGTGAAAAAACGCTTTTATTTTTAAATTTGAATGGGATGAATTGTGTAAAGTAACTAGTATTTTTGTCGTTTATAGGTCTTTTGTTTTCTTCTCAAGCATTATGGCAAATAATAATAGAGGTCGTCGTTTGGTTGAATTGTTACTTAATACTGCAGAAGGTACTAATTTACAAGCTAGAAAAGAAAGTTATTCACAAGATAGGTTGCTCACAGTTGCTCTTTATCTATTAATATGAATGGTTAGAATGATTTTATTTATTTAAAATCAATATATTGAATGTTGTTATTTTTTAAATTTCAACAAATCGGAAAATAAAAATGTTTCGGAGATAAAAGTAGCACATCAGGTTTAAAGCGGAAAAGGGCGAGCTGTTTATATACGGCAGTAGAAGTGGAACCTAATAATATTCGACGAAATTCTATTGAAACACGATGCCCAATATTGCCATTCCCAGATTCTGTTAAAAGGTAGGTAACCTACACATTTCTTTTGTTTAGTTTTGAGAGTATTTTTAAGTTTAGTTTTTCAATAGCTAGAATACCTACATTGCTTAATCTTTTAGCCTTTTTAGATACTGTTTTACATAACTATGTTGAAGCTCTTGGGCTAAAATATTTTCTGTATTTGCTAAATAAATATTTTTCATTTTACTATAATAATTATTGTAAAAATACGTACTTATAATTATGAAAAAGGAGAATTAAATACTGCTTTGATCTCTATATGAGTATTTTTATTTCTGTCACCTACCCTACACCCCAACAATTTAACTATTGGTTCATGTTTCCCAGTCGTGCATAAAGCCATCCACTATATACTCTCAAAAGTGCGTTCTCGGATTTCCCGAAAAACTTTTTTCACCATGTGCCACCCACGCACCGTATGCGTTTGGTGTATTTTTAAAATTTATTTAAAAAAAATCTAAATACATCATTAGTAATCCTTTTTCTACCATAAAACATAATAAAAACTGGTGGCACCTGGTCAACAACTTTTAAAAAAAGGTGGCATCGAATGGGTTAATAAGGGTGGAGAGTGAATCGACCGCGATGTCGATTTTTTCGGGACTCTCTAAGTCCGACGGTAGGGAGATGGTAGAGTCCTGTGAGTCCAGAGCTTTAGCTAGGGACTCCTTGAATCCCTTCCAATTAGTGAAGGTTTTCGTGTGTGTTGGGGGAGGTGGCTGATGGCCAAGAATGAGGGAGACCGGTCGGTGATCGGATCCTAGATCGTCTAGTGTCTCGATTGCTCTGAGGTTGAGAGAAACTCCTTGGAGTAACGCAAAATCTAGTACATCGGGGGCGTGATCGGTGTTATCGGGAAAATGAGTAACACCGAGGGGACTATGGACGGTAATATCAAGAGACTGCGTGATATCGAGCAGTATCTTGCCACTAGGGGACGTAGTACGGCATGTCCATTCATTATGCTTGGAGTTAAAGTCTCCAAACATAATGACTGGATTGCCTAAAGATAAAATGGCCTCAAAATCTTTTTTTGAGGGGATGGGTTCCTGAAGGGATGTAACAGGAGGCTATGAGGATGGACTGATGTCCAGTCATAGCTAGCCTGCATACCATGGTTTCCATGTTGGTAAGCTGCGGAGTAGAAATGGGCGAGCAGTGAAGTGTCTTCTTGTAATAGATGAATCGTTCCGCCGCCTCGGCGGTCGGGTCTGTCGTTACGAAGAAGAGAGAAGTTTTTAATAGAAAGGCCTTTAGTGTCCTTGATTTTGAGATTAGTTTCCTGTAGGAGGAGGAAATCGGCTCCACGATTCCGAAGAAAGAGCTTAAGCTCTGGGAGGTTATTTCGCAAACCGCGAATATTAAATGATACAAGCGATAAACCCTTAGGTTTGATACAACCGTGAGATTTTGGTAGATTAATTTGCTCTGACATTGAAGTTAAGTTAATTAAGTTAACTTAACTTACAACGCTAACATGAGATTATTATGTTCTGCGAGAACGAGGAGACGTTCTTGTGGGGACTTCGCAGCGCGCAGTTTGCGTGCTACTACCGTGATTTCCCTGATGTCTATATTCCTAATAGCGGAATACAGTGTATTGTAGTCATCAGCTGTGGGCTCTGACTCATGGGAGTAGGAGGTTGTCCGCGGTGGATCTGCCTTTTTGGGGCCCCAGGGAAAGACTGGAGGCTGCAAAGGCTTGGAGAAGCCCGGAGGGGGCCGAATTATGCCCTGAGGGGGCCTAGGGGGACCCTGAGGGGGCCGAGAGAAGCCCTGGATGGGCTGAGAAAGGCCCTGACGGGGCCGTTGGTGGAGGGCCGGGAATGAGCGGTCATTGACCGGCGGTGGAGCTTGCCTACTGGGGCGAGGTTGAGGTGCGCAGGGGCAACCCCTATAGTTAGCCGGGTGGCCTGTCTGTTTGCACAGGACACATGCGGGCGGGGATTCGGCGACTTTGGGCCGGGGGGCACTCTTTAGTGTTATGAGGTTCGAGGCACTTAACGCACCTGGGTGGGGCGGAGCAGTTGGCCGCCGAATGACCATATAGTTGGCATCGGTGGCACTGCGCCGGGCATCCGGGCCTATGTGGGGGCTCAAACTTCACTCTCGACAGGCCACACACTGTGCGTACCTGCCGGAAGATGGCTTTTGCCTCCGGCACGTTGGATAGGATGACTAGGGCAAGGTTGAATCTCTTGCCCGTTCTACTGTGCATTTTGTGCACGGCTTCCACGGGGAAGCCTTGGGACTTAAGGTCCTCAAGGATTTCCTCGTTGGAGAATTCGAAAGGGACGCCTCGGATGACGGCTTTTACGCTCTTCCGGGAGAGCGTAAGTGTGATACGAAACTCTTTCGGCTGTGAATAGCCTGGTGAGTTGACGGAAATCCTCGATCGAGCTGGGGATGATTTTGATAGCCTCCCCGAGGTTGACGGCATGGTCGTACTTGATTCCTGCGTCGTAGCAGGTTTTCGACAGTTGGGTAAATTTTGCCTTGTCTCTAAGGAAGACAGGGGGCGGGACTTGCTTCTTAGCAAGGACTGGTGCACATCGAGAGGATGGTTTTGTCGGAGTTGGGATATCTAGTGACATAAGTGGGATGGCGGCAGCGGCGGGGGCTGCGGAGGTTGTAGGAGTGGCAGGGGCCGCTGAGATAGGGGGGGTACGTTTTAACGCTGCGCGCTTACCGTTGCGCTTGGAGTTAACGGTGGTAAATGTAGACTCCCCGGTTCCGTCGGAGTGATAGGTCTCCGATGAACCGGAGCCTGAAGTGGGGGCGGGCCTCTTCCGGGAGGCCGGCGCCGAGGACTCGGAGCATGCGTACTCCATCTCTAAGGGGGCAGAAGACTCAAGGGGGGCAAAAGAGTTCCTCGTTTCGAGGTATGACGCGATTACTGGCGGAGGATGGTGTGCCTGAGGGGCAGGGAGGGGAGCCTGGGCGGCGACGGTGGCGATGGCGGCGAGGCCCGCCTCATTGTTATCTAAACCATATTGGTTTATGAGGGCGGCGAGGGATTCAGTTAAGCTGTATGTGGCCATTTTGGGGCAGAAGAGCTAAGCTCAGTAGCGGTTGGGACGGGTCCCTGTTCTCAGTAGAACAGGGACTTGAGCGCGAGAAGTACTACGAGACAATACACGTAAAAATAAAAACACGTAAAAAAAATGAAAAATGAAAATGAAAAAGCGGAGGTCAGTCAAACCTCCCTGCCCGAAGACAGGGGGGCAAGAACTGTTAGCGTGAAAGTGACTCACCAGCCTCGACGCTGCCAAGCGTGAGCAGGACAGCGGAGGCGCGGGAGCAAGATAGCACTACCGTACTGGTACGAGAGCGCGGACCACCTGGAGGCGACCGTCCGAGAACGATGCCACCGGCGGAGTGAGCACTGCGTCGGCGCTGTACAGCGCGAGCGGGACAACGGAGGCGCGAGAGCGGGAGAGCACTACCGTACGAGGACTAAAGCGCGGACTGCCTGGATGCGACCGCTCGGAAGCGATGCCACAGGCGGAATTTCCTTCATAACTCTCTAGTATATATACAGTAATCTATGTTCATAACCACAGACACAGTGTTGACAACCGACGCAGTGTTGTCATTAAAATACAAAATTATATAAATCATCGTTAATTAAAAAAAGGTGCTTTTATTGATAGTTTTAATTACAATAGTGGCCCAATAGGATTATCGCACAGATCTACGGGGGAATACCGGTCGATAAATCAAAACAACATCGCACAAAATAATATAATGAACGTACAAACTACGCCTGTAGAAACAGTTGTTAATATCGACAATGACACTGTAGTTTCGCACGCACAAACATAATTGACGCACGATGACACCTGTTCGACCAGTAAACAGCGCTTGGAGGCTCCTACCGCAGTTTCAATGGAATCAGACTTCTGCACTCCAAATGCTGCGTCTGCGTGTCCCTCAAGCACTGGTTACTGACGAATTGGTTAACGCAGTAGCAAGAGGAGCGTCTACTACTTCCAATGGCGTGAGTAGAATAATGTCAAATATAGCAAGGCAAGGGAACTTTAAACCTGAAATACCAAAGGAAGACTTGATTTTAGTGCAACACAAACGTCTCCGGAATAGATCAATGAATCTATTCTGGAGACTTTTATGACGTATGAAAGGAAAAGCGAATTCCACATTCACGATTCCAGAATGTAAATTCAAGGTTGCTGAAGTGATCATACCTTTTTACTTATATAATATTGATGTGAACTCTTTTACTGATAATATTACTAGCTATATTAAGAGTAAAATAGGAGTTAGTGTAATGTTACAAAAAGCGGATATGAAACTAAAAAAGGATTATGTAACTTATAAATTTTTAATACCTAGTGATAAATTATCTGTATTTATGGACTTTGAAGTTGTACAACCAGTGCGTGTTGCCAGTGATGACCTACGGAACCGAGACGTGGTCCTTCACTGTTGGCCGTATGAGGACGCTCAAAGTCGCTCAGCGAACTATGGACAGGGCTATGCTCGGAGTTTCTCTGCATGATAAACTTAGAAATGAGGATATCCGCAGTAGAACCAGAATGACCGACATAGCCTAACGGATTAGTAAGCTGAAGTGGCAATTGGCCGGCCATATAGCTCGAAGAACCGAAAACCGTTAGGGAAAAAAGGTTCTCGAGTGGCAGCCTCGTACCAGTAGGCAAATGTGGGGTGACTCCCCACTAGATGACGTGACGACCTAGTAAGACATGCAGGAAGTCGATAGATGCAGGTGGCTCAGGACCTTGTTTTGCTTTGAGTCCTACCGTAAGAGATATATAGTCACCCGAAGCAAATGTGACAGTGGGGCAAGTGTAACAAATGCAAATTATGCGGCCTAAACACGGTTTTTGGTTTAATTCCATCTATTAAACAACACAGGAAATTTTACGCTATTGACTAAACGTACATAGCTTGAACTGTTTTATCAACAGACGTTATGTTTAAAAAATGCTAACATCGGGGTAAGTGTGACAATGTCACGCTTGCCCTGATCATCTTGTATGAGAATATCGTAACTAGTGATGGGAGCCTATTATTTTAACCGACTAACGGCATGTATTTATACTTAAGTGTATTATCATCATCACCATCATCATTACAGCCCTTCACAAGTCCACTGCTGAACATAGGCCTCCCCCAAGGACGCCACAATGCACGGTCCTGAGCCACCTGCATCCATCGACTTCCTGCATGTCTTACCAGGTCGTTACTCCATCTAGTGAGGGGTCGCCCTACACTACGCCTACCGGTACGAGGCAGCCACTCGAGAACCTTTTTCCCCATCGGTTGTCGGTTCTTCGAGCTATATGGCCGGCCCATAGCTAATTCAGTTTCTAATCCGATATCCTCATTTCTAAGTTTATCACACAGAGAAACCCCGAGTATAGCTCTCTCCACATCTCCATACTTAAGTATATACTTTTTTAAATTAATACCAAGAAATAAATAAATGTCAAAAAAATCTTAGAGGATGTCAGAAGCAGAAATAGTAAATGTTATTGAAAGAAAATACAAAAGAAGATACAAGTATAATTTGGTTTTAGAAGAAGATATTACTGTTTTAGTGCGACATAACGAGAAGACACAGAAGTACAGAATATTGAAAATAATTATGGGTAAAAAGTATGGTATTATAAGCATTATGTAGACCAAAATAGAAGCAAACACCAATGTGTTGTTTTTTTGTTAAACAACAATGATGACTTTTTTTTACATTTAACTGATTTTTTTTTTAATAACTATATGGCCCTTGGTATTGTGATAATGTCACAATAATTCTGCCAATGTCCGGTCTTCGGTCTGTCACACCTTGTCTTGAGGCTTTCCGGTGGAAAAGGAGTTAGTGGTTATTAGGTGAGAATGTGGATAAAACAAAGCAACTAAATATATGAATTGAGGACCACACATTGAACTGATTAAAAGATTTATTCATAATTTTTTAGCTAAGGATCCTAGGTTGGTCCTGAAGAAGATGACTAGAGGAAAATCACCAGGGCACGATTGTCTCAGTGTCGAGCACCTCCTGGCAATGTTGTATACTTTTTGTATTAGGCACTCCTATTTACCTGCCGAACTAATGAGAACTATTGTTATTTCTATAGTGAAAAACAAGACTGGGGATATATCTGATAAGGCTAATTACAGGCCTATATCCTTAGCAACTGTATTGGCAAAGGTACTTGAAGGTTTGCTGGAACGACTAACAACTATAAACAACTAAACGATGCTCAATTTGCTTTTAGACCAGGCCTGTCGACAGAGAGTGTCGCTGAAGGATACTGTTAAATATTACACCCAGAGACAAACACCGGTATATGCTACATGTCTGGATCTCTCCAAGGCGTTTGACCTGGTTAATTATGATATACTATGGACAAAACTGCATGAAATATCCGTTCCAGCTGAACTTATCACCACTTTAAAATATTGGTACGGTTATCAAGTTAACCAAATCAGATGGTCTAGCGAGTTAATGCGGGGTGAGGCAGGGGGCGTTGTCTTCCCCTGTGCTGTTCAGTCTCTACGTAAACGGGCTCATTGGTGCACTCAGTGAAACAAGGGTAGGATGTTCTGTTGACGGTCATATGATTAATAATATAAGTTATGCCAATGATATGGTGTTGCTGAGTCCATCGGTGAGTGCGTTGCGTAGACTGTTATCTGTGTGTGAAACATACGCTGCTGAACATGGGCTCATCTGTATCTCTCCCCACTCTCTCTCACCTCTCACCTCTATCTATTTCTCACCAAGAAAAGTGAGTTATTGGTTTTTCGTGTTAAAAGTAAGAAACCCTTGATTGTGCCGCCAGTAAAACTCCTTAGTGTGCCATTAAGTAGAGGTTGCCAATTTAAATATTTGGGACACATTGTTAACGAATATCTGACAGACAACAATGATATAGAGAGAGAGAGAGCGACGCGCATTGGCGGTTCGATGCGATATGTTTGCCCGCAGGTTTGCTAGGTGTACAAATGACATAAAAATAACCCTCTTCAAGACGTACTGTCAAACATTTTACACCTGCAGCCTGTGGTGTGACTACACGCAGAGGACTTATTGTGTGCCTAATACGCTTCGAATTCAATATAATAATGCCTTCAGGATACCTCAAGCATGTTTGCTGAAACAGGTGTTGATGATTTTTATGGCATCTTAAGAAAGCGAACTACGTCAATGTTATATAGACAACGGAAGAGCTCGAATAGTATCTTGAGGATATTTCAAGATAGGCTTGACAGTCCCATTTAGAGGCATTGGATCCTAATACATGTGGGAGGGACATTCAAGTTTCTAAAATGATTTCTCTCTATACAGATATAATTTATTTTATTATTGTATTTTTTTTTATTAACATTGTTTATGTAAATTACTAACAAATGTGTATGGTCTGTATGGATTTGCACTTTGAAGATACTCTTAGTAGTTACTGCTAGTAATGAAATGTCATTTGCATACCTTTAAATTACCCTTTCTCATGCAAATACACAGTCATCACTGGCTAGTGATGATTTACAGTGATGACTTACGGATCTGAGACGTGGTCCTTCACTGCTTGCCGTATGAGGACGCTCAAGGTCGCTCAGCGAGCTATGGAGAGGTCTATGCTCGGGGTTTCTCTGCGTGATTAACTCAGAAATAAGGATATCCGCAGTCGAACCAGAGTAACCGACATAGCCCAACGGATTAGTAAGCTGAAGTGGCAATGGGCCGGCCATTATAGCTCGAAGAACCGATAACCGATGGGGAAAAAAGGTTCTCAAATGGCAGCCTCGTACCGGTAGGCGTAGTGTAGGGCGACCTCCCACTAGATGGATCGATGACCTGGTAAGACATGCAGGAAGTCGATGGATGCAGGTGGCTCAGGACCGTGCTTTGTGGCATTACTTGGGAAAGGCCTATGTTCAGCTGTGAACTTGTGAAAGGCTGTAATGATGATGATGATGCAAATACAAAAATAAAATAATTTTAAATATCTGTGTGATTATAACATCTTTCCGAGACAGATTATCTTATCGTAGCTTTTTGAAATCATTTTTCTACCCATAAAATCTCTCAGATTCGGAAAATAGCAAAGAAAAGTAATGAAGCTTGAATATTTCCTTTTTGTCGAAACCTTGAATATCTCCTTTTTAGTAAAAAAAAACTTAATTAAGTATAAGCTCTTTTCAATTTATTATAATAAATATATTAATGTTTAGTTCGCAACCATCCGCTTAATTAAATACAATGATGTGTCTTACCTGGATTGATGAGCACCTCACGCCCTCCCTGAATTGCTTGCACTAATCTCGTCACCACTAGTCCCAGCACCACTACTCCCAACACCACTACTCCCGGCACCACTACTGCCAACACCACTATTCCAGGAAAGACACACCATCGACACGTGTTTCGCCTCTACACGAGGCATCCTCAGGTGATGTAGACTCTACGGCGGCTGACCGCCAAGATTAACGGATTAATATATTTATTATAATGAATTTCTGCAAAGTAACGCCTGATTCTATCAATTACCAATTTATTATATTTATTCCGAAGTGATAAAACAACTAAAGTGCTTAAAGATTAGTACCCGGATAACCGAGCATTGCTCGGTTTTTTTTTAATTACTTTTAGATACTTACAAATTACATGAATAATATTTTTTGATCTTATTGACATAATAGAAAAACTGAACTGGTTATTTGAATAAAAAATCATGAGTGCAATTAGTTTAATTAAAATTTTCGTATTTTTAAAAAATACTAAAAAAGGGCTCGAAATAATAGATTTTCTCACAAAAGAAGGGAACTTGAAAAAAAAAAAGTTGGACCGAAGCGGGACGTGAACCAAGGCAGTACGATTTGGCGACCGCTCGATATCCACTTGAGCTATTACGAACATTAACACATTGTCAAAATTTACCTTCTCATATTGTAGCAGTTTTTCATTGTCTGAAAACACGGACAAAAAGACATTTTAAAAAATAAATCCTAGCTAGATCGATTTATTGCCCCCCGAAACTCCCTATGGACACTAAATTTTATGAAAATCGTTGGAGCCGTTTCCGAGATTCCGATTATATATATATATATATATATATATATATATATATGAATTGCTCGTTTAAAGGTATAGAATGAGATGATAAGTGAAAATTGTAATTACACGAATAACCCTTAAAAAGTTAAAACTAAAAACATGTTATGCTAAGCTAAATAACAGCCGGAATTATTTTTAAATATTATTCTGAATACCTAATACTTGTGGTCATGACTATCAATTTAATTAAAATTAAATATCAATTGAATACTATAATTAAAATCTGCAATAGCAGTATCAATGTAAATATCAGTATTTCGTACATAGAACATTTAGTATATTATAGAAGCCGATGTAACATCCGTGAAATATCCCTTAGGTTGTTTAATATGGTTTTTCCATTTTTCAGACGTATATTTACGTAGGTGAGAAATAACATGTTTCCATTCGAGAATATCACAGATTGTTTCGAATTTTAAACCTAAACAGCATGTCAAATTGCAGCTTCTTAGCTTAAATATATTTCGCATAATATATAGAGTTTTAAACTTTCAAATCGCTCTCCTATAAAATTTGCGTTTTGAATTTACGGAATTATAGGTACTTAGGGGCCGTTGAGTCGCAGTAAATATATATTAAGAAACTCTTGCCCTTCAAACCAGAACATAAAAGTGGCTACATTTCTGCTCGACGGCAGGTATAGTAAGAGGGTACCAACCTAAACGCTCTCCTACGTAGAAAGGCTACTTGTTTTGCGCCTGTTAGCGATATTGTGAAAACTTTTTGCGCAGCATTTAATATTCTACTTTCTTAATTTTCTATAGAATTAATGTGACAAACGAGCGTACAGTCCACCTTATGGTAAGTGGATACCGTGTTCCACAAATATCTCCATTTATCCTCATATGTTCTACCCTTTACTTTAAGGTGTTTCTTTTAAATTTTTAAATAAAAAATAAATTATTTGATCAGTCGAAAATGATAATGAGAAATTAGCGAAAAATACAACCAAACTGTTGGGATTATACGTTTATTGATAAAGAAAAGCAGACGGTGTACGAACTGGTATAAGCCTGGTTTCGCCATTTACAGTATCAACAACGCAATATTCTCTTCCGTTAATTATTTTTCTTTGCGATTGATCAGATATTTTGTATCTCGATTTCCCACCAAAAAGAGAGTCGTAAGGAGGCGGTCGACTGTCATCGTTATTACGTTCAATAAACCTTGATTTCTTCTTTCTCTTGTTGTCAGAGTAAGCTTGCTTGTTAATGCTGGTGGTACGCTTAATGAAGATCTGTAAAATAAACAATTAATAGGTATAATTTGTATCTTTTGTCAATAGCAACAATAAGAAATTTTTGATTTTATTCGCCTCGTGATTTTAAACTGCACATTAATGTAACATCGCAATAAAATAATTGTTTTGTGAGTTTCGCCTCTAAATGAGGCGTAAGTAGAAATTGACTGCGAAGGCTAACTGCAGTAGAGCTGGCCCAAGAGTTTTGTAGGGCGAAGTTACCTCACTATACAGAAGAAATTATTTGTACGTGTATACCTCTCCAATAAATACAGCAATTCCGGCAGCAAGACCAGCACCCATGATTTCGTACGTCATCATTAAGTCGGTGTTGCGAAGCTGACGATCTTTAGATTGAAGATCCAGGGGACATATCTTGGTGGAAGGCAGATCTCGGTGTTCCAGAAAGTTCACAATACCCCCTTCTAGCAGGTTTGTTATGCTTAATAGTAAACAAATAATATACAATTATTTAATAATACTTAAATTAAATAAAAAGAATATTATTGTTCTCAAGACCAAATATCGGTCGCGTCGCGTACCCAGACTAAATAGACTTTGGAGTGAGGTAGGATTAAAGTGCACAAGTGTGTCCAAACACAGGTGCACTCTATTTCTTCACTCTCACAGTCCGATGGAACGGCAATCTGACATGACTGGAAAGAGAAAGAGATCAGGCGCAGGAGTTAGGAACGTGATTTCTGATGCTCGGGGTAAAACACCACAGCTTTTTGACTCCAGGCTACTACTGAAAATTTTATTTTATGAAATCTTATAATGCGCTTTGGTCACAACTTGAACGCCGGTAACACCGCAAAAGTAATAATATATAAATCATCAAACGTTTATAGGTTCTACGAGCTACTATTGCTTCTTGTTCACTTCGGGGCATCTGAATAAATTCTAAATTGGACAGAAAGGAGAGGAAATGGAGAGAAAATATCATTAGGTTAATATAAAAGTATTTTTAACGAATCTATTATTTTCAATTTATTAAAAAGATGTCGTACGTCACCCTTATTCTATAAAAAAAAAACAGAATAAAATAATTGGGCAATGTATAACAAAATCCTTTTTTTATTGACTTACAAAAAAAATCTTAATCTTGAGAGGCTTGCGGCTCTGCCGCTGATGTCCTCTTCCGTAAGAGAGACATACCATTACTTAAAACCTATCAATGACACCAACTTTTTATAGGTAGCGCCAAAACAAGGTTACAACGTATCGAACGTACTGTATCAGCAGCACTTTCCTGGTAACAACTGAAAATAATATAAATATGCGGTTGCCAAGCGTGGCAACTATGGCAAAATTCTCCATATAATAATAATAATAATAATAATAATATTTTATTGCCTCTAAAACACACAGTTACATTCACGTTAAAAACAAAAGAACATTATAATTATTTGAGACAAAAGGAGACGGCTCAGCTTTGTCTGTAACGAGATACAGATCTCATACAGAGCTGTTTTTCAGCCGCTCCCTCCTCCCTGAGGTGTTGTGCGGGAGTCCAAAGTAGCAGGCTCCCCATTTACCTGACTTATACTTTTAAGCTATGTACAAAGTAATTAAATATTATATCAATATAAAATATTTTTTTAATTAAAAAAATATTATATAAATATTAAATCGCAAATACAAAAAAAGATTAAAAACATTAAAGACAAAATAAAAACATTTAAAAATATGCATAAAACAACCATTACGAAATGAACTAACAACAGATTCAAAAACAACACGAGAAATAGAAAATATAAAATAAACCTTCCTTTCTTTGAACTTATTTGAGTGTATGTGTGTGTGTGTGTGTGTGTGTGTGTGTGTGTGTGTGTGTGTGTGTGTGTGTGTGTGTGTGTGTGTGTGTGTGTGTGTGTGTGTGTGTGTGTGTGTGTGTGTGTGTGTGTGTGTGTGTGTGTGTGTGTGTGTGTGTGTGTGTGTGTGTGTGTGTGTGTGTGTGTGTGTGTGTGTGTGTGTGTGTGTGTGTGTGTGTGTGTGTGTGTGTGGGTGTGGGTGTGTGTGTGGGTGTGGGTGTGTGTGTGTGGGTGGGGTGTGGGTGTGTGTGTGGGTGGTGGTGGGGGTGGGGGTGTGGGTGTGGGTGTGGGTGTGGGTGTGGGTGTGGGTGTGGGTGTGGGTGTGGGTGTGGGTGTGGGTGTGGGTGTGGGTGTGGGTGTGTGTGGGTGTGTGTGTGTGTGCGTGTGTGTGCGTCTGTGTGCGTCTGTGTGTGTCTGTGTGCGTCTGTGTGCGTCTGTGTGCGTGTGTGTGTGTCTGTGTGCGTCTGTGTGCGTCTGTGTGTGTCTGTGTGCGTCTGTGTGCGTGTGTGTGTGTCTGTGTGCGTCTGTGTGCGTGTGTGTGCGTCTGTGTGCGTCTGTGTGCGTCTGTGTGCGTCTGTGTGCGTCTGTGTGCGTCTGTGTGCGTCTGTGTGTGTCTGTGTGTGTCTGTGTGCGTCTGTGTGCGTCTGTGTGCGTCTGTGTGCGTCTGTGTGCGTCTGTGTGCGTCTGTGTGTGTGTGTGTGCGTCTGTGTGCGTTGTGTGCGTGTGTGTGCGTCTGTGTGCGTCTGTGTGCGTCTGTGTGCGTCTGTGTGCGTCTGTGTGCGTCTGTGTGTCTGTGTGCGTCTGTGTGTGTGTGTGTGCGTGTGTGTGCGTCTGTGTGCGTGTGTGTGTCGTGTGTGTGCGTGTGTGTGTGTGTGTGTGCGTCTGTGTGCGTCTGTGTGTGTGTGTGTGCGTCTGTGTGCGTGTGTGTGCGTGTGTGTGCGTCTGTGTGCGTCTGTGTGTGTGTGTGTGCGTCTGTGTGCGTCTGTGTGTGTGTGTGTGCGTCTGTGTGCGTCTGTGTGTGTCTGTGTGCGTCTGTGTGCGTGTGTGTGCGTGTGTGTGTGTCTGTGTGCGTCTGTGTGTGTGTGTGTGCGTGTGTGTGCGTGTGTGTGTGTGTGTGTGCGTGTGTGCGTGTGTGTGCGTGTGTGTGTGCGTGTGTGTGTGTGCGTGTGCGTGTGTGTGTGCGTGTGCGTGTGCGTGTGTGTGTGCGTGTGCGTGTGCGTGTGCGTGTGTGTGTGTGTGTGTGCGTGTGCGTGTGTGTGTGCGTGTGCGTGTGTGTGTGCGTGTGCGTGTGCGTGTGTGTGTGCGTGTGCGTGTGTGTGTGTGTGTGCGTGTGCGTGTGCGTGTGCGTGTGCGTGTGCGTGTGTGTGTGTGTGTGCGTGTGTGTGTGCGTGTGCGTGTGCGTGTGCGTGTGTGTGTGTGTGTGTGTATCCTTATTAATTTTTGACAAAAAAGTCCCGTAAATGTAAAAACTTAACATAGGGATGTTTCAAATTCTCTGCAGCGACTTTATGATATTACATATGAGGCAATCTATTTTGTATTTTTCTAATTTTAACTATTCAATTGCACGTTGATATAATATTTGCATACCGATAAACCGGTAAACATGCATGTTCACACTGCATGTTATAAGACCTAAAAATATACCATGTTTTGTGCAAATAAATATTTATTATAATTGCAAAATATCTAGATTGCGTTGTAGGCTTTTTATGACGCCGGTAGATGAGATAACTATTGGGACTATATGGATGGCTTCTGCTCTCCATTGACGCTTGAGTTTTTCAGCTATGGAGGATTGAATGTTAATTATTATTATTATTATGAAAGAAGCGTATGCTCAGCAGTGGACTTCTAATCTAATTAATCTAATCTAATGGGCTGTAATGGATTAACGTAACTTTGTATAAATATCGAAAACCGACAATTTGTGATTTTGTTCAGATTTGATTTCAGTTGATATCCAAATCCTAGTCAAAATTACTTACACGACATCAAATATAATCTTCAATGTTGTATTCCTTGGATATGCGAATGCCCTTTGCATCTTCATAAAGGGTTGAGGTGCGACAACGTAGACACATCTGCCTGCTTCGGGAACGCCTTGCCTTGTTTTTCGTAAGTAATCTCCGTACATCAAATGGTCAATTGCGGTCTGTTCTTTTACCAAGACAGCTCCACGTTGCACGATGGGAAGGTAATCTTCATCAACCTCTACTGAATAGAACTGAGCTCGTCCGTTTGCGACCATTTTGTTTAGGTAAAATAGATCTTCGTCAGGCTGTTGCAAAATTTCAATAAAGACATATATATCTTTAAGATCGCAGAATCGCTTAATATAATAAACACCTGACTCTTAGGCCTCGCATTCGATCCTCAGCCGAGGAAAGAGTTCAAGAAACAAATAATTAGTTTTCGGTTCTGGTTGTACTTATGATATATGTTCTGGTGATGTTTGTGCTATTAGTCAGATAAAGATTCATGCTTGCACTTATTGGCGTCAGTGCTTGGAGCCCGCAGGAAGCGAGCTCTAGAATATGCCACTACACCAATAGACTACTGTCGCCTCATTTAACGAAGCCAATGTGTTTTTTAATAAATTTTAATAATTGTATAAAATATGAATATTAGAATGAGACCCAAAGCAATACATTACAGCCATACTGTACAGATAAATCTTTATTTTTATGTTTACGCGTCCGTCTAGATTAGTACCGCTCACTGTTCTGGCGCGCAGCAGTGCATCCGCTGCAGTATTCCAATTTGGAGGTAAATAAAAAACCGGGCAAGTACGAATAGGATTCGCACACCGGGGGGATTCCTTATAAACTTAATTATGTATGTCTCACGCTGTAGAGTCATGCTGTAGCTGTACACGATTGGGTCGGCTTTACCAGGGAAGCATCGCGCTCTCAGAGAATGCCAGTGTAAAATAACACCTTGATGCTGCTGTGTTTCGTATGGTGAGTGTAGAGAACCGGAGGCCCTTCTTATAGGAAACGAGACATTCCATCTTAGCCTTTAGGTCCTTGATCCTTAATCGAGGGTAGATGTAGACCTATGCGCCACAGGCCCACAGCATCCATACTTACCATCAGGGAAACTGTGAGGTTGTTTCTATTACCGCATATTATATAATATGCCGTAATAAATAATATTATATTATATATAAAAAGATGGCAGAGCATTCACGCAGAGGTTATTTGGTGCACAAATGAGTTATCTGCTGTGGTGTTACGAATGTGTTAACATATTGCGATTGTCTCCATCGCTTACATGCTACCCAGTAGCATGCAAGCTCTTGTAATCGCTTTAACAAAAATCTTGGTAATTCTTAAAGTTTTTTAGCTGGTCTTTATAGATTGTAGATTCGTTTACACTCACTTCAAGTATGTGATAAATCTTAAAGTTTTTAATACTATAAATTGGATATAAGCAAATTAGAAGTAGTTGAAAAGTCTCTTTAGAACTGTTTGTTTGGTAAACGAATTACGAAAATCCAAAGAAATTTTTCAGATGAGCTTACATTACCCATGTGCTATGCCGTGTTGTGGCGGCACAAGAGCAACTACTATTAATGTAATATCCGGGGCGACAGAGTAAATTAAGATAGGAGATGGGCAGCAGAATGATAACAATTTAAAATTAATCTATCGGCATATATATATATATATATATATATATATATATATATATATATATATATATATTATATATATATATATATATATATATATATATATTAAACTAATCGGCAACTCGCCTGCTACTATAGCAAAAATATCCACCTATAAAGCAATCTATGTAAGAATACTACGTTCAGTAGTTAGGACCTTTGACAGGCTGTAAAGATAACGATGATGATAACTTTGTTCTTGTAAAGAGCGACCTACAACGCCGCTTGGCAAAAGCTACTACCTACATGAAATATTGATGTTTTTAAAAATAAACAAATTATTTGTTTTAAATAAGAAAAAAATATAAATTACGTTTTTAACTGTGTATTGTACAGCTCCTCCTGCCGTTGAAACCCATCTATAGTCCTTCTTTAATAGATCTTTTGGACTTTCTATATCCAATGTGAACTTTGACAGAGTGAGGAAAGCAGTCAGATTTGCCGTGTAGAACGCAGAGAGCAGAGTTATGAAAATCCACCAAGTTGCAAACAGCACTCGAGTTGTGTCTAAAATTAAAAATCAGAATCAAATGTACATTAATATATAAATAAAATTGCAATGTGTGTCTGTGATATCGATTAACTGGCTTCTATTATGCTCATTCTTTGGCATGCAATCAAGACATGAATAAATATTTTTAAAATGTTTGTCCGTCTGAACTAATTTTTTTTTTTACTTTAATTAACAAATTCTTTTTGCTTTAATTAAATGCACGCATTTAAATATTATAAGTGTTCCTTTGTTTTATAAACATATTTTAAAAAATCAGGTTTAAAAACGTAATATAACAGTAAAAAAAAATCAAAACCTATTTTTTGGCATCAATAAAAAAGCTTCCTTTAAAACGTGTTAAAACAGTGAGAAGGTTATGGTAACAGATAGGTATTTTATATTATTACGTTATAAATTTGGAGAAAAATATTGTACCCGTAAGGGTAGCAAAATGGCAGATGAAGTTTTTAAAGCAACTATTATAAATTAACCTTATTTTAAACCTTATTTCAATAGGGTAAAAAATGTTTTTTTTTTAGTAAAATGTAAAATCGACTTAAAAAATAAAAAGAAAAATTAATTTCACATTTCGATTGATTGATATTTTAATTCTTCTATAACGGATAAACGCTGAATTTAGAATGTGAAATTATGCTTTTTAGTTCTTTGTAGGCTAACTAAATGTGTACCACGCTGCAGCTACTGGTAGTAGCACAAATGGGTCGGCATGACCGAGTTAGGACCATGCTCTAACAGAATAACAGCGTAAAATATAAGCTTAACGCTGCTGTATTTGTTTCGTATGGCAAGTGTAGAGAATCGGCGATCCTTTTTACTGAAAACGAGGCATTCCATCTTAGCCCTCAGGGGTGACAACGCATCCGCATTTTAAGTCTTAACCGATGATGGATGTAGATATCTATGGGCCACACCATCCACTTACTATCAGGTGGACTGTGTACTCATTTGTCACCCTTATTCTATAAAAAAAAATTAAGTGCCTACTCCTTTATGATATATTTGGTTTCGCTTTCGTTGACTAACTGGATGTGTAATTAAAAGATTTTAAACTGCTGAAGCGCTCTTCACTATCTCTAATTTTATCAAGGGGTCTTTATTTTGGGTACAAAATAAATAAATAGATTGTAAAAATAAGACTGAATTATTTGGTATATTTAGTCTTTAATTGTCTAACTGGACGTGATTCATTTTAAACTACTCAAGCTCTCTTCTCTACCTCTAATTTTATTAAGACGTTTGCCAAGTCTTTCGAAGGGAGCTTTTGTCAGCCACCTGTTCCATCTCTGCACAGGGATAACGACTCACTGGCCCATGCCACAAAGGAGAAAGTCGATCTTTTAAGTTTTCTTTTTGAGTCCGACCCGACTCTTGATGACGGGCTGCCGACCACTAGATGTACTGTTTAAATAGCGCTCAGTGTGCAAAGCACTCCTCGCCCTGGACATCAACAAGTCGAGTGCGTCTGATGGGGTTAGCACCAGTTCTAACGCGTTTTCTACGGTACTCCTACTCCCTAGGCGTAATCCTAAACTTATAGAAGACAGCTTTAATGCACAACATCCCTGAAAATGTGACCACTCTGATCAGTTCAACTACAGGCTTACTATCATTGTATCCTTGTTCTCCAAAATAATTAAATTCATTATAAATTGCAAGCTAATAAGGTACCTTGAGGACCCCCAGCTGATTAGTAACCGTCAACGCCAATGCGATCACTAATTAGCTGCATCTAGTTCCAATCTAATAATTTACTTTACTAATAGATGAGCCTTGGTCGTTACTTTGGACATAGCGAAAGCCGATGGGCTTTGGCACAAAGCGTTTCTTTAGAAGCGTCCTTATTATGGGCTTCCCGAGAAATTGTGCAATTGGATCATCAGTTTTATCGCAGATCAGAGCATCAGGGTCCTATTAGACAAGGCTGCGTGCTATCGTACCTGTTTCTTATGTATATCAATTATATGTTGCTGTTACTGGTTGTTACACTGGTGATGCTTTTTACCGGGCCGTGCTAATATTTTTCGGGAATACGTCATCGAGTATCGTTACCAACTTGTGTCTAAAGTCGAGTCTTTAATAAACAAAATCTCGGATTGGGGAAGACTCTAGTCCAGTTTAAACTTCAGAAGACACAGGATTGCGCATTTACCGCTAAAAAGAACCGCTTTGTCGTATCTCCTCCATTTCAAGACACTCCCCATGCTGCCTCAGCTCGCATCGGAATCATCGGCATGGAAATATCGAATGGCGTACAGTTCCTCGGTCACTTAGAAGGGAAGGATAAATTGGCCTTTAAAAAGCTTGGCGTGCTCGGCAGAGAGGGGCAGTATTTTATGTTTTTCACCCCTATATAACCCAATGCCAGGTCCTTCCACTTCACTGCATACAGCGAAATGTGTCTCGAATCATCGGTGACCGATATTTGCTATCCGGTTCGATTCACTGGCGATGCGAAAAGATGTTGTATCTCATTATATTTTCTATAGCTTTTCCCACGGAGAGTACTTAGAAAAATTGTTCGGATTAATTCCAGCCGCCAAATCCCATCAACGCTCATCAGGTAAAAACTCACGGTACCATCCACACCATCTGGATGCTTGGCGGTCCACCATGACTGTACATTTATTAGGAGTTTTCTTGATCGCAAGATTTCTCTGTGTAATCATTTAAATTTTTTCGGAGCGATACAACTTAAGATACCTTCAAGAAACGAGCTTACTCCTTTAAAAGGGCCCGGCAACGCACCTGCCATTGCCCTGGTTAATGTTTAATGGGCCATGATCAGCACTTAGGTACTATCGTACCACATTTTATTTAATGTGGGCGATTAATAGTAAAATACCAACCCGGTAAAATATAAAAATTTATTAAATATATTCATGGACTGGGCAGGAACAGGCAAGGGGTGCTTATTTATAGTTAGCCTAGGGCTGTCGGAACTCTCCCCCCCCCCCGAATGGGTTCCCTCCTTTCGTGGCGAGGATGGTCACCCGCGCTGAACGAAGAGTAACCCTCATGGCTGGCCTGAGGTGAAGGGTCGGCCCGAGGTGGCCACTCCGAGAGAGCTTGGCGAGCCCACTTCGGATGTGTGTTGGTGAGCTGCGGCGTGAGGGGTGTCCTCGACCCTTCCGCTGCAGCTGAGATGGAGTCGCGGAGGAAGAAGAGTGTCGATATTGCGAGGCGACGCCCTCCATACCCACCGTAGCTGAATCTAGATTGGCGGCGGAGCCATAGACCAATTCCGCCGCTGGGGTTGGGAACGCTAGTGCTTCTGAGTGCTCGTTTTTCCAGGCTGGGCCTGACGCGGGAACGTCAGTTATGCAGGTGGAGTTGGAGGGCGTGGAGAAGGCCACGCCATGCCCCCCCTCCCCCGAGGAGGAGCTGCCACGGAGCGGCCGGCGCTGGTGGGACCGTGGATGTGTGCGAAAGCGTTCCCGTGGCCCTGCCAATTTGCATCAACGAAAATGGAACACCATGGAGTTTTAGTCGGTGCGTATATGTCATAAACCGTCCTTACCCCCGCTACGTGGGTATGCGTAGGCATTTCCCCATGTTAAAAAAACCGGCCAAGAGCGTGTCGGGCCACGCTCAGTGTAGGGTTCCGTAGTTTCCCGTCCGTCACAATAAGTGTTCCCACATACGAGTTTAAAGGTGGATATCCATTATGTTCGCGCTCCAGCAGCGCTCCGCGCTCTGCAACTGCTCCCGGTAGTAGATACTGTTGTTTCCATCCAAGTTGATTTCCCTAGAAAGTCCTTATAAAGTTCTACTTTTCAGATTTTTTTCATATTTTCTAAACTTATGGTTCAAAAGTTAGAGGGGGGGACACATTGTTTTTTACTTTTGAAGCGATTATTTCCGAAATTATTGACATTATCAAAAAATGATTTTAGTAAACCCCTATTCATTTTTAAATACCTTTCCAATAATATATCACTGGTTCTGTATGCCAAGGTCACGTTTAATAACCAGAAATAATAATATATCGAACAGAAACTACAGGCCGTCAATTATGGGGTGATTTTCAAAATATTTTTATAAACACAATCTTTACCCACCTAAAACATGGTTAAGGCGTAAATGCATAGTGATTAACGACACTCGCCGTTAGACACGACATTCAAACGATAATAACAGATATCGTTATAGATTTTTTATATGTAAATAATGTGTTTGTAATATTTAAAATAATTAATTATAATTAGCGAATACTACAAAATAATTTAAGTTTTGTCTCGTGCCGATCGAAAACTTCTTGTATTTTTTAAAAGATTTTTTTGTATGTGTTCATTGTCAATCCCGGATAGATCTCCTTACAACCTATGAAATTCCAACGCTGAACGAAGGCCTCCCCATACTTTGATACCACACCATGATATGAGGTAGTGAATATTCGTGAATATTCTACAACGCCACTTCACGGCAAAATCCGTTTTTCTGTATGTCCATGGATGAATTAGCAATAAATACATAACTGAGCTTTTAAAAAACTGCAGTCGAATGATGTTGCGTAAAATCTTGTGCATCCCCGTAAAGTTGGAATCTCCTTAGTTACATAAGAAAAAAGCCTTACATTGAAATCGATGTTAAAGTGAAAAAAATTGCGTCTATATTAAAATATGTAGACCCAATACCCATTAAGGATTGCGTCACTCAGCATTCCCTAAACGCATTTTTTTGACGTTACCTTATTCATTTACTAAATCGAGTTACTGTATTAGGTCTATTTTATATCATCTATTTTAGTACCTCACTTACTGTAAGTTATTTTTTATTGAAAATTATACACAGACTTTGTTTTAATTAAGCACAATACGGTATATTCATAAACCTATTAAGGTTTGATCGTATAGCAAATGTAGTAGGTATCTCTAATCTCCAAGCACAATTTAGTTCTTATTATATTAAAGATATTTTGTTTTTGGGCTCACTAGACAAATAAAGCATAATAAGGACTCATAAAAATATCAGATTGAGTACAAAGAGTATATAAACCACTATGTTGATTTAATTATTTCACATAATACTGCTGGTAAAATATAAACAAACGATATGACTACACACACTTCACAAATATAATTTATGTTTTTCAATACTTTTATTATCCTTCTACCTTCTATACCATATTGTAAAATCAATAATCATTACCGGCGACTGTCAGATAAATGTGTTTACACAATGATTAAAAGATCAATACTGTATTGGTTTAGACACTAACAAAGACAATTCCCAAATAAAAAAATACAACAATAAATTACTTCTTATTCAAATAACGCCAATGTATGATAGTTTTATCTAGCATTTTCACTGGCTTCTTCATTGTACATAATACGAAATTGCCATGATCATAGTCAAGCTTGGGAAGTGTTTCAGTGATGCAGAAGCAGAAAATCACTCACTTAACACCGCATCCAGGATCCAGCTAACCTAACTAGGTTTGCCAGATCGAAAGACCAAAATATCTGAACAAATTTTGAAAAAGTCGGGATTTTGGGGTTGTTGTCGGGAGAAATAAATATTAAAAATAAGAAGTTTATTTTTTTGAACCAAGAGACTACAAAAAGAACATTTATTTATACTAATTTAAGTACACTTTATTTTTAGGTTGCCACATTTATTTGGCATTGGACTTTAATAGAGTCCTCCAATTTGAATCCTTTAGTTGTATTCAGAAAATATTTTAAATTCAAACAATTTACTTCAAAGTTCAGTCTAATTACTAACTCAGCTTTTATTAAATCAAAAGCCATTAGTTTACTTTCCGAAGAGCGGTTTATCTGGAGATGTTGAGTTTAGTCGGGAGTCTGGAGATCATTTAAAATGTCGGGGGAATCCAGACGGATCCCGATATTCTGGCAACCCTACCAGTAGTCCAGACCAATTTTACGTTCGGTATAAGCGGGATGATTATACCGTCCTCATTATCTATCAGACACCATCTTTCAGACACATCCCACAGGCACCCCATTACTCCCACGGGACATATTATATCGGTAGTATCAACGGTCATCCAGCTTACAAGTTAAAACGTTACCACAAAAAGGGCGCCATTTTCAAAATGCGTTTTGCGCGCAAAATGGAGATCTACCACACAGGTTTTCATCCCAGGGAGCAGTCATAGGATTTCAAAAAAATATAGTAGACAATACTACTATAAGTATTTTTATTAAAGCTGTTAGTGGCGCGTGGTTGTTAATAAAGGTAAAACAAAAAAAAATCTTTAAAAAATCATAATCTAAGCGTACCATATTTTGTTTTGAAGCTTCATCTACTCACTTGCTACTGGCTTTAATATACACATCCACTCACTCAAAAAAAAATCATTATATATGTACTTACTAGCGTCTGGAGCTAAATTAGTTCCTTGCTTTATGAAGGACCCGTACACAAACCAGATGCTAGGGGACAGTTCGATGGGTCCTTCCTTATCACGCACCAATAACTTAGAGCGCATACGTGTCAGGAACGTTATACAGGGGCCGTAGAAAATTACTGATGCTAAAATAAGGTACCTGAGGAAAATTTAGTTCTTCAATAAAAATATAATTTTATAAGATACAGTGGTGGTGGCACATGTACCGAACAGCACGGCTACCACGGAGACAGTCAGCATTTTTGGACGACCACAGAGGCCTTCTACTGAATTAAGTAACAACCTGATAAACAACGCAGTAAGTTGGTACATGTAAGGGGCTTCGTTGTGGCAATCTGTAAGGTAAGTTTTCAGCTTCAGCGGTGGACGTGTAAAGGGATGTAATGTGGATAGTCTGAATTTTAACTTTGAATGCATTGATAATTTTGAAGATTAATTTTGAATGATTTTGTTAATTTTGAACGCATTTGTAGACAACACGGTTAAATAATAATAATAATAAGTTAATACACTCTGGAACAGTATAAACCTACCAGCTGAGTTGAGCTATTTCGTGACCTATAAAGATATACAAAAAATTAAAACTGCTTTTTGACTTCTTGATGGTCTGATGCAAAAAAAAAAAGAATTATCCTATATAACAGGTGCTTGCGAAATGAGAAAAAATGTTGAAAAAAAGTAATTTTGTATTAAAGTGTAGTAGATATTCTTTGAGGTTTTTGTCGTGTATCATGTAAAACTAGAAAAAATGTAAGGGCAAGAATGACCTCACAATAAACTGTGTGTTCATTTTTTTAAATCTATTTACTCACCACACGTATGCATCAAATGGCGCCATTATACCCAATCCGGCGGCGGACTCCTTCGGGCGCTTCAGCATCATCATCCACGTACCTTCGTCCAAATCGTTGGAGAACGTTACCATCTTATAAAATCTTAGCAGTTTCGGCAAAAAGGCCGCGGCCATGTCTACTTTCTAATAACCAATTTAGGTTTTATAAAGTACTTTAATATTAAATATGAGAGTTATTACAAATCTTCTAATACACACGCTAGACTACTGTATCCTCTCAGACTAATTAGTTTGAATTAAAATACGCCTAAATAAAACTTCAACTACAGACCAAATACAACTTTTTTTTAAATAGCGCCTATACTAATACGTTACATCCCACTCTTGGGTATCGTTACAGCCTATATACGTTCCACTGCTGGGCACAGGCCCTTTCTCATTTCTGATAGGGTTTATAGGGCAAGGAAGTGTCCGCCACGCTGGCCCTATGCGTGCTGGCGAACTTCACGTCTTCGGTTTTTTTTTTCTTATTTCTCAGACATGTTGCACGTTTGGAAAATCGTGTTAAATATCAACATACGAAATCGATGCGTTGGTCTACATTACTTGGTATCAAGAAGTTCAAAGTCTAGCTACTAAGTACTAAGTACTGGTATCAAGAAGTTCAAAGTCTAGAAAGAGGCGTGCATGGAGTTTCTCAGTGTGGTAGAATTCGTAAAAAAAAAATATCCGTACTGGAACCAAGTGGTACGACATTTTTGACATTTCTATATAGTTCAGTAAGTTTATGGCAACCGCTGACATACCGTTACAACACTTAGACCTCCCCTACAGATTGCCTCATATTTGCCATAGTTACCACGCTTGGCAAGAGGGTTGGCCACCACAGTTTTTCATTATTAGTCGTTATTACGAAGACGTTGTTACCCATCTACTGCTGCTTGGTTTCCCTCTGTATCCTCTTACGACACCCATGGGAAGATATGGGGTAGTGAATATTCTTACACCACCACTATACGTTGATATATAGTACGTAGTAATGGAAACGCTGGTTTTCTATAAAGAAATTCTTATAGAACGACCCTCTATGCAGCGAGATGGCGTGAGGATTGGCAACGACACTTTGATATGCCATTCGATTAATAATCGAGGACAGTGAACGTCAGTTGTGAATGCTGGAGTCTGGTAGAAATGCTTGTTACACTATTAACCTGGACATGAGGTACACTTTTATGCTTGGATTGCTTATCTGAGTGAAAACAACCCTCTTATCTACTTCTGATGCCATGCAGCAATGTATTCAAAGCTTTGTCCAGGTTTAAATGATTAAAACAGCCAGGTTAATAATGATTATTATAAGTTATATTGCATTTCATCTTAGTGCTTAGAGGTAAGTAACAAAGAAACTGTATTCGTCTTTGTTTGCAGTTGGTTTCAGGTGTTCGTGGGCTTAGCAGGACGATAAATCGGAAGTGGTCTTGAAACACCATGATAGCTCTTTAGAGTGCTGGGGCAACAACTCCTGGACGTGCTTCCAATAAAGCATAGCGAAAGTGGAGCCTTGATTGCTTTCTGAATGTAGATCTTGGGACCCCACGTATACGCTGCTGGTGACCACCGTGTGGTTTTAGCTGATAAGAGTCCGACAGAACCTTTCTGTTATTCCCCCAGCTGAAGTTATCCATTAGGATTTCCCCGTGACAAAAAGCTGTCTTTACGATGCAGTAGCTGGATATACCATCTAGTGGACTATTATCATTAGATTTTTATGTATACTTATTATAAAAAATGGATGTTTAATGGCGTTAAATATTTTTTGCTGTTTTTTTTGCGTTATATCGTAAATAATTGAAAAGGTGAACTTACACTACTGTTTACAAGACTAACTATAGAACTTTCAGGTTTTCCGAAACCGAATTCAAAATTTGTCTCCGGCACGACGACTTCAAACGTAAAGTTGAATTTCTTCCGTAAAATTTCCACAATGATAAATGCAATACCATGTCCTGTGATAGTTCCATTACTTTCTTTTTGCGCCCAATTAAGCGGATAATTCTAAAATAAATTATTTTTCACATAAACTGATCTTAATTTTTTTCCAGCTTGTTATGGTAGTCCCCAACTTTAAGAAAGCTTTACCGAAATTGACAGACTTAAAATTAAAAATGTTTTATTTCCGTAAATCTTTTACAATCAGTTTGCCGAGGCGTCCCAGAAAGTATTGAATACTTGTGTTGGGGGAGTCTCGCTCTTCCTACGTAACCATAACAACGTAGATTTACATCAAAATATCAAAATAGCCAAAGTTTAAACTTAATAATATATTTCTTAAAATTTTGACTTGGCAGACGGATTGACGATAGTGGTACCAAATGTATTGACCCTACGCCCCGCCACTGGTCTATGTTTATAAGCTACAGTTTGCCTGAAGTTTCATATAGTTACCTACTACATACTAACCATATTCACGGGACGAATTATTCGGGTTGTGAATTCCCTTAAGTTTCCACCACACGAGGTATAGTTATATAATATACAAATTGGTTCTTTCCATAAAGTTAAAAAATAAATTTAAATTAATTGGAGGAGAATAAACAGTAAACTATTGACGGAAAGCATTGTCAAAGGTACGAAATGTCTGGTACTGTTCTCGTTAATACGTCTGACAAGCATGCCTGTTAAAGCAAATCCTCTTTAAAAGAGAAGAAGATATCTAACTTTTGATTAAAAGTCAGTTTGGTAAACTTGTCCTATGATTTACGAGTATAACTATATCCTCGGTTCGAAATCCTGTTTAAAATAGGAGAGGCCCATTCCAACTTTCGGCTTTAACGCACGATGCGCTAGATAGCACTCAGCTAGATATAGGCCTTAAAATACCTACGTCGGAAAGCTTGCATTCGAGTATCGCTTTCGAGATTATTTTTCAAACTTACCACACTCTACCGGTCAACGATGTGGTAATTGCGGTACGCTAAGTGCGAATTTGCGAACTTATTTGTATATTGTCATCTCTCGCCATGCACTGACGAACGAGTCCGACGGCAGAAAATCGATCTTAAATGCCGATTATTATATTTATATAATATGTATGTAATATGCACTTAGCGTACCCCAATTACCACAGTACATTTAATACGGCTAATCATAATATGTTATGTTTATTATATGTCAGGCAATACTTACCACTACTCAGTGGTGTAGTGAAAAAGCCCCCCCCCCCTCTCACTCAAAAATTGGTAAAAGTCTTTTATCATTCATTCCTATTAAAAGTCCACTGCTGAACATTGGCCTCCTCTATAGATTGACTCATATGGAAGGATATTTGCCATAGTTGCCACGATCGGGGCCACGCTTGGTTGACAACCACAGTTTTTTATCATTTAAAGTTTTTGGGAAGATGCTGCTGCCCAACTCCTGTTCCTGTTCACTTTGTCTCCTCTTCAATACGACAGGACGATATGGGGTAGTGGATTTCCTTACGCTTCCGCCACCCTACACAACTGTATATAGTCCGACCACTTACTTGGACTTTGATGCTATTTTAAAATTTATTAAAACAATAATTTAATGGGTTTTTTATACTTAGGTATACCAACCCGTAACAAGTTTGTGTATGCATGTTATTCATATTTTGAGATTTTCTAATGCTACCGTGTTTGTTGAATAAAATATATTCAATAGTTTTCAGGAAAGGCTATTTTTCATATTTTTGGAAATTTATCTACTGCTATCTCATTTGAAAAGTTATGGCGAGACATCATTTAAAATCTAAGGCTTGGGGTCGTGTCCCACTGGCCTTTAATTACTGTATAAATGACATGACATTTTTAATGTATTACTTACGTTATAGGTTGCAATTCTTAAATGTTTTCCGTTTAAACTATTGCCCAATGTCAATATCTCATTTTGCTGGTTCGTCAGTCCTGAGTCTGATAAAAACAATATTGATTGTTCAATGAATTGTCATGAAGTCTTACAAATAGATGATCCAAGTATACGTTATTTTCTCAATATTTTTAAATATCTTACGTTTATTACCTATTAGTGGGTTGTCGTAATTACTTTCACAAAGGCTTGCGTTACATATTGTAGAGAATATGAGTTCCACGCCAGTGGCCATGACATAATCTCTTGGTTTTAACAAGTACCACAGAACATTTGAATTTGCTGGTCAATGAGTAGTCAGCTCGCCAAGCATCGACCGAATACGAGGATGCGCCTTGACACATGACACGTCGCCGCCCCACTGTAATGATTAATGCATGTTGGATTTGTAAAGATATTCCTAAATAAAATAAAACATTTTGTACAACATTCTTGTATTCTATTCCATAACTACAATTTTTATTTTTATTTTGTTACAAAAGTTAACAACCGAGTGCAGTAAGATTATTACAGTGGTTATGATATTATATTCAAAATTATCAGTAATGAGCAATTTGGTTCCAAAACGAAAGATTAGTTTTTTAATTATTAATTAATATAACAGCATAGAAACATCACACAGGGCACGGGCTCCTCTCCTTGATTAAAGATAATAGGAAATAATTTCCCGCAGACCGAATGTTGGTCAGTCTCAAGTCTCAACGGACACTAGCTATCTGCGCGGAATAGGTTTACGGTGCAACAGTGGTGTGCGCAAACACAGGTGCCTGGTAATTGAGTCCTTTATGTCCTCGAAATACTTACATATTCATACACACACACACACACACACACACACACACACACACACACACACACACACACACACACACACACACACACACACACACACACACACACACACACACACACACACACACACACACACACACACAACACACACACACACATACACAGACATATATATATATATATATATATATATATATATATATATATATATATATAAATTACATGTCACTTTTTTTGTCCGCATTGGACTCCTAAACTACTTAACCGATTTTAATCAGTTTGGTCTAACTTGAGAGATAGGATAGTTTTTTTGCCCACAATTTTTTTTGCGAATTTAAGGATTTTTAATAGGACATGACAAAGTGTCGTCGAAAAGGGCAGAACAACGTCGGCCTGGCAAGCTAGTATATATATTCATTCCTAGGTTGTTTTTGATGTGTCTTTCTTTCCCCTCACTTTCCTGCAATCTATGATAGTGATTTCGTGAAAAGGCACAGAAGTGTGTAAGCCAGAAGGGTTATTAAAATGAGCTGTTATAATATAAACTAATTTACAAGTGTAAACTATATTAATAAATATATTTATTGTTGATAATAACTGTCTAAAAAAGATCATATCGTTGATAAAAATGCAAGTGAGTATAATGAAATATTTTAGTATTTAGCTTTTTTATATTTTGAGGTTAATTTCTGTCGCTGCTCAATTAATATTTTTAACTTTGATTACGAACATATGCAGCTTTTCTAAATTTTAAGTTTAATTTCTGTCGCTGTCAAATAATATTACTAATGTTGATTATAAGAAACAAATAGCTTTTTTCAGGATATAAAGTTAATGTTGCTTATTACCAAGGTGAAATATCAGATGTCACACATCATATGCGACTGCTGTAAAGCTCGCTAGGTTTTTCCCGGCAGTGTATTTGATAAGTTAGCACGTAAAATTGTTCAATAATTACTACAACCCTATCGATATCTATCTCGGCGCAATATCAAATATGAATATAACCTATATTATGGCAATGTACTTCTGTATAGTAACGATATTAAATATACGCTAAATATTTAAAAGACGTATCCATACTATTACGATCTCATTAATATTATTTATTGGTATGACAGCACGCCAACCTAGGTAAATTATGGTCACAGTCTGTATAACAGTTATGGTTATGTAAAAGTTACCCATCCCATTACTTTGGCAAATATAAGTCAATCACGTATATTACTATTTCAGTAACTTCTGTCACAATGTAATTGCACAATATCACAAATCGATAGCAATTGTTTGTTGAAGATTATTTTTTGAGATTATTTAATGATCATGTAAATATCGATAAAAAAATCTTAGGTAATCCTACCCTCCTTTATTGCCCGGTATATATATATATACCTGGCGATAAAGGGATAAAACAGCCTTAGTTTTCAGTAACCAAGCAAACGTTGTATAAGCACGGTATTTCTAATTTAATTCAATTTAAACCAGTAACCAGTAGCTTAAGAATTATTGCTTGTCAAACTTTTTTTAATTTTGTTACTCACTCACTGAACAACTGACCGATCATCAAAACTAGAAGGCACTTCTAGCAGACATAGAAGCTTCAAATTTAGAAGGTATTTAGGTAGGTAGGTCGGTTATTGTTTACCAGTGTCTTTCCATCCTATATCCACGCATTCCTTCCGCACGTACGTGAAGGAGGAAGGGGGGGGGGTTAGAATGTGGTGCCGCCTTTTTAGCCAATAAGAAGCGCGCCCCGCCAAGATAGAAGTGGTAGAAGTGGCCTGCCCATATATGGACGTACACTGCCCTTGCTCAGCCTTCTTGCATCGTAGTTCGACGACTCCGCTAGTTGTGATCGCACCTCTGTGGCAGTCGCGCCACAGAAGAACCGTTAGAAGTAACCGCCTCGCGTAGAGCGAGTTGTCGTCACGCACCGCAATTTTCCAACGCACCACAAGACCAGGAGCGTGGTTCCAGAGGCACCAGAGGAACTCCATCCCGGTAACTTTCCTTTATTTGTGTTTGAGCCGTTTTTGTTTCCCCGTCACATTTTTCTCCCCTACCGGCTCAAGTAGATCTCCATCAAAATACTGATAAAGTAGTAGAATTTGTGAAGAGCTAGCGCATCCGTCCAAGGCTGTCGTGTGCCACGTCGGCCATCTTGTTTTTGGTATTTCAAGAAACCGCACATACAGTCCACATAATACAGAAGCTAAGCGAATGTTAGCCTCTTCATATCTAGACCAAATATTCGATCTTAAAGTTATATCATCCGTATATATCACTGGTCTAGAGCAGTTTTTGGATAAATTCATAACATCAGTAGCTGCGCTCAAAAACCTTAACCTGGCTACTAGGATATACTTGCACAGGCATATCGGATTATCAGAGTTAGAAAGCGCCAAAAAACTGGAACTAAGTGATTCACCGGGATGGCGACAAGCTTGACAGATATCAACGGTGCTATCCTTTAGGATGTATCTCCGATAGTTTTTGGTGTTAATAACCTTATCATGTATTGCACAGAAAAAACGCTCGCAGTCTCTGTATGGGTCACCAAAACGTAGCCAGTGGAGGGAGGCGACTGTATCTACGAAAGGGTCATGAAGAGCCTTGTGGAACCTCCCGTGAGCTCCTTCTCCTTCCATACGGTCTACCAGTCGGAAATGCTCTGTACTTTTTGGTCGTGCCATTGCTCGTTGGCTAAGAATAGAGGGTTAAACCCTTTATCACAAGACATGACGCGACAGGTACAGCCTCATTACCGATGATTTCGCATGGTGAATCCTATGGAACGTCATGATTGTGCGGAATCTTCCTATGCATGGCCTTTAGTTAATTTTGAGCCCACCTGAGTATGGCAAACGTATACATGAGGATAGATATGACTCAACCGTTATATGCGCGTGTCTTATTCACGCCCGACAAAAGGTTCTTAAACACTTTATTCAAGCGTGTATAAAACAGATCGTAAGCTGATTGTTTCATGTCCGCCTCATCAATACCTATATTTTGTGACATACCTGGGTACCGGTATGTTTCAGCCTTGGAAAAGGTCCTTATATTGATGGACATGGATAAGTATTTGCCCTCAGAATTAGCAACTCTTTCGACATGGAGGACCGCACATTTATCCGTCCTTAGTTCCATTCTGATAAAATTGCTAAACTTGGAAGTGATATTCAGCAATTTCACAAGATTGGAGTGACTGAGGGCGAATGACTTGAGATCATCCATATGGGAAAGGTGGATCACTTTTATTGCTCCTTTCCGAAGCTGAAGTTCCCTCCCTGATCCCTCCAATAAGGTACTGAGAGGGATCAGGGAGAAGCAGTACCAGATTGGACTCAAACAACCGCCCTGGAAGATACCCCTTCTTATCCTTATTCGGTTTTTCGCATCCGTCATCCGCTAGCCTAGAACAACACAAAAAGCCTAGAAACACAAAGGATCGTACTCCGTTGCCCCATACACTACCCGAGGAAGTACAGTCCAACTTGTACAGCTTTTAGTTCGGCCTACAAATAAAAGTCTAGAGGTGTTAGGTCTGGTGATCTCGCCGGCCAGTTCACAGGACTATCGACCTACCACCGAATTGGCTTATTATTGTTAAATACTCGACATAAGAGTATAGGTACATGTTTACGATACACACGCGGAAACATAAACAATACGACGGTGACCGACGTCACGCCTCAGCTAACAAGTAACTGAAGAGAGTTGAGAGTACGCGGGCGCGGGCGGCTTTGCTATTGAGCTTGTGACCCTGCCTACTACTCGTAAAGTAGTGTGGATATGATTTGAATTTCGATTGGTTTTATTGATTTATTTATTTGTCATATCGGTGGTTTAGTAGGTTTCAATTAAATTTAACCCAGTATTAGTAGTAATAAAAATAAAACAGTTTATAAGATCTTGCGTGTAGATAAATACAGTTCGGATTTAGATACATAAAAATTAATTTTGTGTTTTTAATGCGTTGAGCGTCTGAACCATGGAGGTTAAAGAACATAAGTGGCAACGATAAAACAAGGGCTTCTAGGTAAAATAATATTTTGAATGAAATGTAATAAAAACAATGAAATATTTTCGAATTCTGAAGTCGGTGCTAAAGATATAGTTTATAGAAAAGTTAAAGCCTTGACTTCAATTCGAAAAGATTAAAATAAGTTTATTCAAACCTACTTTTACGGATTTTAACGCATTTAATTTATTTAGTTTCAATAAAAGATGTTTCGGGTACTTTCCAGCAACCATGTTCACGGATGACAAAGCACTCGAAACATCGGGTATTAACCCTATATAAGTAAGCTTGCCAGGCAGACGTTGTTCTGCCCTTTTCGACGACATTTGTCATGTCCTATTACAAATCCTTAAATTCGCAAAAAAAATGTGGTCACTCATGGACAAAAAACTATCCTATCTCTCAAGTTGGATCAAACT